CTCTGCAAGTGAACGTCGCTTTATTGTGCCATCTCAAAGAGGCACAAAATCACTTTCACGGACTTTTACATTAAGCTAAATGAGACTTGTTATAGCACTTGCATATCATTGCTTCCATTGTCCTCATTTGTAAGTCGCTTTGGATAAAAGCGTCTGCTAAATGTCTAAATGTAAATGTAAATTATTAAAGTATTTTGTTTCTGTAACTCAGCTAAGTTCACTAACGACCATCTGCCACTATCACAGCCAAGAGAAACACACACGCGGCCTTTATTTAGCTTCCTTCAGTGAACCAACTCATTATATTCATACCAGAGTATAACAGCTTTTTTTTTAATGCTTTATTAATTCAATGCCACAAGAACATGAGGTATTACATATTCACATTATCAAATTAACATTATTAGCTGCCAGAGAATGAAAAAAATAAATAAAGGAATAAAATTACATAAAGTTCAATGCTTTCAGGGCATTACATGTTTTCAATGCTTTTTTGTTTTTTGTTTGTTCTAAGAGATTTACATATAATTTAAAGTCATTTATAAAATGTGCAAAATTTGGTTTACATTGAGCCCACTTCTTCTTATGTATATGGAATTTTCCTAACAGAATAAACAAATGTATAATATGTTGTTCTTTACAATTCAAATTTTCGTTTTCTGTATAAAAAAGTACATCAAATATACACATTTCTATCATACACTCTATTTTTCTGTTAATATAGAATTCCAAATCCTTCCAAAATAATCTTGAGTAAATACAATGAAAAAAAAGATGCAAAATAGTTTCCATGACCACAAAATTCACAGGTATACGAAATATTAAGCTTAAATCGTTCCAAAACATGCTTAGCAGGATAAATTCGATGAAGTATTTTGTAAGACACTTTCTTAATTTTGTTATCGATACAAAACTTATTTGGCTTATTTGAGATATTACCAAATAAAGAAGACCAAAAAAATCTTGCTGCAGGTAGGGACAGAGAATAAAGAGCATTCCTTGTTGTTTTAAAACGTCGGCATTTTCAGTGAGAATGTTACCACAAGGATTAACCATGCTGATTTCTTCTGAGATAATATGTCCTTGTTATTCCATATGAAATAGTTGTGGGGTGAAAAATTGTGCTTGTATATAAAT